AAAAAAAAAAAAAAAAAAAAAAAAAAACACATCATAGTAAAATTAATACCTTCTCCGCTTCGCATCGAAGCTAAAAAATTAATTTTCTTAATAATTTATAAATATTTAAAACTTACCTATCCTTTGGCATATTTTTTGTATAAATCTGAACCTAAACCTGCCCACAGATGAGGATTCAATATGACAACTTTTTTACAAAAAATTAACTTTTTCAACTTAAATTTTGAAAGTATTATGAGAAATAATATTTATATCCCTCTTTCATTCGATATACTTTATCTTTATCAGAATATTAATAAGGAAATAGCAAATCATGTAGCTTTTGAAATAATCCACCAATTTTTTAAAATTAAACATAATCTAAAGATTTGCATCGAAGCGTTTTTTTTTTATTTTAATTTCAATGATTTTAATCACTGTCAAATATCACTATACTTGACCCAACTATGCACGTCACTACTGTGCCGCAACCCCTTTGTGCTGGGTTTTTTACCTATGCCCTTCATTTTATTTCGTATTATCTCACCTCTTAAAAGTAGAATCCCAGAATTTTTGTAATTTAAATAAATTCTCTCGAACACTTAAAAGACTTTTTAAAGTTAACACAAAATAATGTACATACCCAAACTCATGGAATTTTATATAGTAGATTTATGGAAGTATTAAATATTACGTACTACACATTTAAGTCTATGTGTGTATATTATGCTGTAGCTACGTAATGACTACCATGTATTCTGATCACAGCACTATGGTGGTTATAGAATTGCTACATGTTTAAATACTACTAACTGCACTTAGTTTATCACCATCACTTAAAAAGCAATGAAATTTACGTCGATTGCTAAAAAATAATATCATCTTTAATTTGTATGAAATATGTAAGTTTGTAAATTTGAGACAGATAGATCTTTGGCCAGAGCATATTCGCAAATCAGTGAAATAATTACAATGTCTTTTAACAGATAAAAAAATATTGTAAAAATATCTCAAACTTTAAATTCTACTCTTGGAGAATTTTATATTAGACTTAAGTTATATATATTTATTAATATAAAACTACAGTTATATAGTTATTTACATTTAAAAATTCTCTTTAGTCCTAGTAATAAAGAGACATGTACAAGTCAATGTTCATATTTTTAGTTTTCACTTTATATTAAAATAACTTTTTTAAAACAGAATTGATAATTAAGAAATTTTTATTTTATTAGGCATACTACCTCCTAATTTTTTGTTAAATAATTATTTTTTTTAAAAACAAGTATAGATTAAAATTTAATTTATTTTTATAAACCATTGAAAATATAAATTTATAGTAAAAATATATTATTTATAACAATATATTTTAAGGATAACTTTCAAAATAAATGGGAGCCTATCATTAGCAGTATAATACTATAAATTTTTGAGTTGTAATAATTTTTAGTTACAACAACACAAAAATACCTTTTTTAGTTTAAACATTTGGTAAAAAGTTAACTTTTTGTACAAAATATACTATTTGGAATACCCTTTTAACAGGTAAAGGATCATATTTTCAAAAAAATACACAGTTATAGGTAAATACATAAGGTATTTACAAAAAAAATGAATTTTATTTCATTCATTTTAAAAAAGTTACAATATTTAAAAAAAAAAATTTCAAAATTTACTGATTTCATAAATCAAAATTTTTTGGGTAATTTCTTTTATTTACATTTTCAAATTTTAAAGTTGAATCTTCTTCCTTTTTCCTCGCATTAATTCCAACTACTTAGGATCAGTCACCCTTATCCTAAACTTTCACTTGACACGTTCACCTACATCATATATGCTCACTCACATCAGCCGTCCTCATATTTCATTAAATTACATTCCTTCATCTCTTTGTTTGTCTTACTCTACTTCTTGATTCAACATTCATTTTTACAACTGTTCATACTGCTTCCGATTTCTCTCTCCTCATAACATGACTAAACCATCCTAGTCTATATTCTCTTATCTTATCTATGATTGATGCTACACCTATACTCCCTCTTATATTTTCATTCCGTATCCTATCTTTTCTAGTCACTCTACTCAAACATCTAACTAGTGGGAGGTACATCTAAATAAATAATCATAGAAACTATCTCATCAAATTACTAATAGAAATTAGTCAAAAATCACTTAACATTAACAAGGTTTATAAAATAAAAAATAGTATAAGAACAAAATTGTTTGAAATTTATTTTTTACCACATTGACTAAAAATGGAAACCTTAGAGAAAATGTTAGGTATTTTAACCCTGGAGTAATGAAAAAATAAATTTTACTACATATTATTGTAGTTATTTGAAACAATATTTTCTTTTAAATGAATTGAAAATATACAATACTTTTATGAGTAAATGAGTGTTTGATTCATAATTGATCAGCCTGTATGTGTATACATAATTTTTTTTAATATTTAAAATTTAAATGGTATATTAATTAAAACTGCTATTTTTAACAAATATATTATAAAATACAACAAAATATAAATAATATATAATCATACAATAATGGCATGCTTAAATAGACTGCCAATAATAAAGAAACTAAAGGAAATCTTAATCAGGATATATTAGACGCCTCCACAAAATTTTTGATTATATATAAACAATAAAGTAAAATCCTAAGCCAACCTTTGTCTAATCATAAATACTAAAAAAATTAATATTTAAATACAATTCAAAGCCTCACAAAAATATTGAATTTGCGTAAATTTACTAGAAGAAAAAAACTGACATGTTTAAATGATATAAGTATTAATTGCATAAGCAAAATTAATTTTTTTTTTTAATAATTTCCGTTAAATGTTATTACTTTGATCTACTACTAAATATATATTTTTAACATGCTATTATGTATAACAAAAACATTTTCTTATACATTACTTTTTACTTTCTTTAACAGACAACTCTTACAGCCAAAACATTTAAATCAAATACTGCATATCAAGGAAAGTCATTATTATGCAGGAATATTGCAGAGATTACTCTAATAAAAAAATATTTTATTATTTTAGTAATATAAAATTATTTTAAATATATACCTGATTTAAAACTCCTACAATTTTTTCTAGAGAAGTAAGACTCGAAACTGTTTCATATGACCAACTTAAAAATAAGTTACATTAAAAAATTAAGAAGCTACAATAAAAACTTTAAATTTAAAAGTTAACAAAATTATAAACACAATTTTTTTTATTTCATAAACATTTTTAAGAAATTAGAAGAACATAACATTGACCAATGGGTCTATATAAAAACAATTTAAAAGAAATTATCTGATTATTTAAAATTAAAAATATTTAATTCTGATTACTTAATTTCAACAGCATTAAGGATAATAAATTTCAATCTTTAAAAACTAGATGGTACACTAACATTTAAAATTGAGTACAACCACTTAAATGCAACGAGTAGGTATGAAAAGCTGGCAGAGTACATGCAACCAGTATTGGTGTACGTATATATGTGTTGATACATACATAGGATATTGTTGCACGATCGGGACGCACCCTCTGATAGTTACATACTCTTTTACTATGTATAAAAATCATCCATATGTTCAACTAGACCAGCTGCCCGACCTCAAAAAAGGTTAGTTGATATTCGCCATATATATAAATCATTATAAATAATTAAAATATTTACGATTCAGTGGTGAAATCTTTATAAATTTGAAGATTGTATAATCCATTTAAGTTTAAAAAATATAGTTGCTTAAACGTTATAACCTGAATAATTTCTATTTAATAGAGTTGTTGATAATAGTTATCAAAAATTAATTAGGCAAAATATATAAATCCTACCGAATTATTTAACCGATTGCAATGAAATACAAGCCTGTTATCAGTTATTTGTAAAAAATGTTGATAAACTGTCTATCTTGTCGACGACGTGGCTAGAAAAAACACATGAAACACACATGAAATAAAATTAAGTATTCGAGATGGTTTTACGGTATGAAATAATTAATGACAGCGGCCTTAAAAATTAATAAGCTAATAATGTAAATGTCTATAATATCTGTGTATACAAGTCACGGAATAAAATATAATAACACACAAAAACGCCGGAGAGAACGAAAAATGGTTGATGAGAACATCGATCTGTTACCACGATAAAAACGCATAATCAGAAATTTACAATTGAAGACCGCCAAAAACTCTGTCATCATTACTCCCAAGTATCATGAACTGAAATACGCAGTATTTTCATAGTAATAGCTAGACGGCTGAAGTCAAAAGAAACACGAGAGAGCGCCCATTTTAAGCGGGATCGGTGCTGTGTCGTTATATCCGAATATCAAGTTCAGTTCAGGCCGGGCTAGCCAATCATAACTGAATTTAGCTGAAATTGACATTAGGGTACAAAATAAATTACAACGAAATGGAAAAAAAAAGGTGTACATGTATAACGGTGCAGTTTCAGGCGTTATGCAATTCAATAAGATTGATTTAACGACTATTGATTTTTTTTATCGACTATTCTATCTAAAATAAACAACGTGGGGTTATTTTAAATCCGACAGTCTGATTGTTAGGCTCCAAGCTTTATTAGCTGAATTGATCTTTATGCCGATAGTACACACAATTGAGGCATTCACAATGCACGTGTTTATTTGCAATGAGGGTGACAATCAAATAATGTTTTAACGGTAATATTTTGAGTTATTTGCGTTGCAATATAATGTTACTATTCTCAAAAAGAATCTACTTTATAGCTTAGTCATAATCTATCCTTAATATTTTACGACATGCTTAAAAATATTACTTCTTACCCAGGCCCCCCGCATTTGATGGGGGCATAGGGTAACCCTCTGCTTCCGGCATCAAATTTATAGCATATTTTTCGACAAAATTTTACAAAACACGATGATATCTAGTATTACGTAAAAATTTGTCGTCAAAAAATTGAATTTGTTATGTTTTTCTCATAACCAAAAAAATATGTAACGTGGTCGCGATTCTACTAATTATGACCTTATTTATTTTGATCAAAAAATTTTCTAGGGGTGCCAAATGTCCAAATGCGACCATGTTCTTACCTTGTGTCCAGCTAGCTTAATCGTTTTTTTAAATATATATTTAAAAATAAAAGAACTGACTTTAATCTATTTAGTAACTTTAAACTATCGTATTTCATATGAGAGTTGACATAGAGCTAAGTGGCTAGACTTTCGAAGATAGTACTCGCCGCAGAGGTGTCGTGGAGCGTATACGCGGGTATACGGCGTATACCCACTATTAGTTTTCTTATTAGCGCATATACGTATTTATAAAATAGTTAAAGAGTATAGACTAAAGAATAAAATTAAAAGTAATACGTGGGTATCGAATATAGGTACGTTTGTCATAAAACACAAATACAAACTGATGACTGAATATGTCTACAAAAAAACATGACACATTCAAGACGACCAATCCCCATTTATGCCATTCGTGGCACATTATATAAGGGCGAAGACCTTGTTTTTCCACTCACTCATTTATCTCTTTTTCTCACTTTATTGTCTCTTATTATTCCCTAATATAATATACTCTAGTGTATTCTTTGAATGTGTATCTCTAGTCTTTAACTTAATTCATTTCACATAGTTTAAAACTTACATGTGTTAAAATAATCATCACTTTTGTCGTAAAAAAAAGAAAGTAAAGTAATATGGAGGATAATTATAATAGTAAAAAGAATGAAAAGATGAAGGAAATAAAATAATTGGCCATATGTGTGATGTTTATATTTTTTTATAATTAAGAAAGAGGAATAATAATAGAATATAGATGTTATGGTTAACGGATTGTTGAAGTACGTTTAGCTACAAAGTGAAAATAAAGCATACAATATATATATTCATGAACTCTTTATTAAGATACTACCACCACACGTGGTTTGTCGTAAAAAGTAAATTGAAGGAAAATTATATTCGGATGACGCATACCTAAGTCATATTAATTCTACAATGAAATGTGCAATGATTATGGGGGAGGATTTTACGACTCTTAATATTTATTGGTCATGCTATATGAATGGGAAACAGTGTGTGTTCATGTAAAATACTACTGTCCAATTGTTGGGCGCCAAGCCTTAATTATGATCCGAATGGTGAGAAAGTAGTTATTAATAATATTTCCCTTTTTTTTATTATCTGTTATTTCCTCGACAAAAGTTATTCTTGATTTACCTTAAGTCTATTTTCTAATTTTTATGACATGCTTAGAAACATAATTTCTTACCTTGGTCCAGCTAGCTTGATCGTTTGTTGTAAAAAAAATATAAACACTGACTTTTAATTAACTTATTAGCTTCGATGCGAAGCTGAGAAGGCATTGGTTTTACTAAGATGTGTTTATTTTTTTGTGTCTGTTACCACTTTTTCTCAGCTCTCACCGAACCGATTTCTTTCAATGATACGTCAAAAGATCACAAATCGTATCTAATCGAAGACATTACCCTCAAAAATTGAAAAAAAATCCCTCGTTCCCCGTAAATGGGGGAAACCTCCAAGAAAATTACAAATTTAAAAAACGCTAATTTTCGAAATTTTTTCAACTTTTTTTACTTAAAATTGCCATAACTTTTTTAAAAATAACCAAATCAATATAATTCTTTTTTTTATAGATGCATGATGTCTTTACCTATCATTTGGTATATTTTTTTTATAAATCTGACTTTTTACCTACCTACAGGGGGGGAATCAAAATGACAACTTTTTCACAAAAAATAAACTTTTTCAACTTAACTTTTGAAAGTGTTCCAGAAAGTCTGACACTTATATATATATCTTAAATTAAAGCTAATGTAATTTAATTTATTATGCAAAAAAAAAATTTCGGACTTTATTTTATTTTCACGGTGAAAATGGCTACCGAATGCTATTATTGTGTGAAAATTCTCGATTTTATTTTTTACATTTTTAACTTTATAATGCTATGACATATTGAAAAGTGTATGGATCAACATTATTTTTTTATGAGAAATAATATTTTTTAATAATCCCTTTTTCATTCTACATACTTTATCTTAATTAGGATATTAATAATGAACTAGCAGATCATGTAGNTATATTAATAATAAACTAGCAGATTATGTAGCTTTTGGAATAATCCACCAAATTTTTAAAATTAAACACTATCTAAAGATTTGCATCGAAACAATTTACAGAACCAGATAGATTATGAGAGCCAATCCCTAGTGACACATTATAAACTATTGTTTTACGAATAGTTTTAACCGCTAGATGTGCTAGGGTAATGACTTCAACAAACTATCAATATTTTATGAAATTGTGTATTTGATATGAGAGATATGAGAGTTAGAGACAGGCTGGCTACACCATCGGAGATTATACTCGTCGATGCACGGACCTTACTGATTCAAAAACTGCTTGCCGAAAAGAACGTAATGGAATATGAGAATCAATCCCTAGTGACACGTCCCAAACTATTGTTTTACCAATAATTTCAACCGCTAGATGTGCTAGGGTAATGATCTCAACAAACCATCAGTATCTTGTGCAATCAATCAAACACGTATCTATTCAAATTTAAAATACATTCTACGATCTCCTTAGTGACACGTCACAAACTATTGTATTGCAATAGTTTCAACCGCTAGATGTGTTAAGGTAGATTTTCGAAATGCACTTATTAAATAGACACTCCAATTGAAGAATTAAAAAAAATTCTCAATTGGAATAACTCACAAAATACAAAATAAAAAAATTAATTGTCTTGATAATTCATAATAATTTAAAATTAAAAAAATAAATAAAATAAAAAGTTTAAGTTATTATTGTTTTTATTACATTACTTATAAAAGAGTTAGACAAAAAAAGCACCAAGTGTGAAAAGGTTTCTAAGTCCGAGAGAGCACAAACGCGAAAAAGTCTGGTGCAAAGACGCTTCATGACCAGATTTTTAGAAAAAAAATAAGGTGGTAAATGAGCTAAAAATCGCTCTTTTATAGGCCTGTTTTATGAAGGGGAGACTTAATGTTTTATATTTTAATTGCAAAATCCTTCTCATTGGCTAGTCAAGTAAACTTGAATAGACCTATGCGCAATCTATTATTCTACTAATTTGAGTTAATGTTTCATATTTGTATTGGTGTTTTATATCTATCATCTCCCATAATAATGTGGTTTATTAGAAAAATCATCAATATAAAAATATAAATAAAATAAAATCATAAGTGCTAAATATCTATTACACTTTGTTTAGAAATACACCCAAAGAAAAACCTCAATCAATTTTGATAGAGAAATTTTATCAAGGGTTTATGATAATGTTTTATTAATACGAACAAAATAACTATTCTTATAAATAATTATTGTTCAAGACAAGAAAAAAAAATATCATATAGATAAATATATCATAGGTTCAATAGTAATGATATATTTATCAAATTTAACAATGAATTTATTATATAGATCGAGGTTTTTCTCTGGGTGTAAATACGCTTCTATAATTCACAAATAATTCTCTTCTTATTAACACATCTCCTATACTTTAAACAAACGCTTCTTGAAACTTAAAAGTAATGTAGCCTACTTATTAATGATTCATTTTCGAGTTTTTTTTTCAAAATATTAAGGTGAAAAACATTTGAGTTCCATCAGACTACTAGGTGGTTGGTATTCGCTTAATCATTCCTATTATTACAGTTTTATATATTGTAATAACCAATAGAAAGACTTATAAAGTAGGATATAACTAGGTTATTACTTAATATATGTAATTAGTGTATTAAAACTACTCTTGTCTGATATTCACTGATGATGATAGAATCTCGACTGACCATTTGTAGTTGTTTGAAGTGTTTGTTTAAAGTATAGGAGATGTTTTAATAAGAAGAGAATTATTTGTGAATTATAATAAAAGCGTATTTATTTCTAAACAAAGTGTTGATTATTTTAACACATGTAAGTTTTAAACTATGTGAAATGAATTAAGTTAAAGACTAGAGATACACATTCAATGAATACACTAGAGTATATTATATTAGGGAATAATAAGAGACAATTAAGTGAGAGGAAAAATAGGGTTTTCAACCATTATATAATATGTCACGGACGGCATAAATGGGTATTGGGCGTCTTGAATGTATCATACATTTTTATAGACACATGTAATATTATTTTATTGGTTTATAGTCTAACCAACACAATAAAGTTTTTATTATTCTTTTCTTTATTTAGTATCTTTGTGGTGCCACGAAGTCGCGAGTAAAAACTGTGACCCATGTTTACTATACAGAGTGGCCCACCACTCACTGACAACTTAAATAACTTTTGATCCAGTTAATATTTTCAGCTGATTTCTTTTTTAAATATTAGTTAGACTTTAGGTCTATAGCTATATCTCAATAATTAATATTTTTACATTTTATTAAAAATTGTAAGCAGCTATTTTTTTAATTATTGTTCTTGTTTAATACTAAGGAAAGTATAACACTGTCGGTGAAACAGTTGTCTATATCATACATAGGGTTTTAATTTTATAATATTACTTATAGTGACTTTTGTATCAATTTCTTCATGTAATATGACAATGTTAAATATCATTTAAAACAGGTTATCTATTTTTTTTAAATATTACAGGATTGTCCATATAAAATTACAATTGTGTGTCACCGAGCAGTCAAGTCAATGTGTAACTTTTATTGTTGTGACTAGTGAATTGTGTGTTAATAAAATCGATTTCAACTATTGTTTTTGATTATAATTAGTTAAAATTTATTATTATGGAATGCTCAGTCGGTATAGCAGTGAACGAAGAGTGTCACAAATATGTTTACGGTATTAATAATCAAATATTATTAAATATTTTTGATTTTTCTAATGAAAACCAACAACTTCTTGCTTATAGAATAAATTGTTCTTTAACTACAATTTGTGAGTATCACAGTAAAAAATATTTAGATTATTTTTATTTTGTGTTTGGTAGAAAATGTTCTGATCCATTTAATATACATAAAATAACTGTTCGCAAAGGTCTGATTGAAATAAAACTACAAACCGTTCTTGAATATTCAAATTTGGAATTAATGCCTGGAAAGGCCTTATGTAAAACATGTTTAAAACGTTTGAAAGATTCCGCTGATTACTTGAACATGAGTGTTGAGCATGAAGAACCCAAGTATGAGTCTATAGATATTAATTTAGAAACAATAAATAACGCTTGTAACAATTTAGGTATATCACCAATTTTATTAAAACACTTAAGTAAAATTCGCCGATCAGTTATTATTGAAAAAAAGCTGAAGTTATAAGTACTACAGTAAAAAAAAAAAACTTTTCTCGGCTTATGAAATTCCTTTTTCTTCTTCTTCCAATAGCATTTTAATTCTAACGGTAATTATGTCGTTAAAGAGAAATATTAAAATATTAACAAAAATAAAACTTATATGTATGTATAATATATAAATAGAATTAAATTATATTTTAAAATAAATTAAAAGGAAATAAATAATAAAAATTATTCTTTATTACACTAAAAAATATAACACATATTATTATATTTTTAGAATAATAAAATTATTTTTTATTACTAAAATACATATTTGAAAAAATTACGACTTTAAAATTAGTTGCTTACAATGGTATGTAGTATTTTATTTTCGTGCAGAATAAATGGAAAAAATAATAATTAAATGTTGAAAATTACGTAGTTTGTGGATTTTCCATAATACACAAATTGTAAATTTTGTAAGTTCTATAAGTGGTGTAAAAATTATTTCTTCATCAACAAATTATTTTTGTTGTCAATGACCTTTAAGAAGTCTATGATAAAAATTTCAAAAATTTCTGAAATATAGCAGTACACACATTAGGTGATTTCACATGGAATGACCCAAAATTTAAGTTTAAAAGTTAACAGCTTTAATTTATTTTTAATACTCAATACCAGAAGGCGAATCTATTCATTAATAATTTTAGTGATATCATATGTTCACTAGACGTAATAACATTTGTCCCGTTGCATTTTGAACGCGCGTCGTATATTTTGTCAAGGTTACAATTTATTTTATAAAAAGTATAATGTCTTGATATTGATTGGTATTGTAATAACTAAAAATAATGTTGATGGAGATGGTATTAATAAAGAAGAATGATAATAGCATCATTCTTTAAGACATAATAAATACAATACTTTTGTTTATAGTTATTACTTGATTAGTGTAGTTAGTGTGTTAAAACTACTTTTACCTGATATCTGCTGGAACAGTGATGATAGAATCTCGGCAGGTGATTTATAGTTTTTAAAGCGTTTGTTAAATTATAGGAAATATGTTTCCTTACAAGAGAATCATTTGTGAATTATATAAGCTTATATATTTTTAAGCAAAATGTTAGTTATTTTAACAAATGTACGTTTTAAACTAAGTAAGAAAAATTAAGCTAAAACTCAAAACAACATACACACAAAGAATATAAGGTTAAATGGTCCAGTATGCTTTATGGCATCGATGTAATAGTTCGCACTAAATGGTTAATTTACCATTAATATAACTATTTATAAACCTGCACTTAGATTAAATATTCCATATCCACCGTGCTGTTAAAATTGTAAGTGTGTGCAGCAAGAGTCGAGGTTGGACTGCTGGTCCTTTAGTCGATCTTAATAATNTTAATAGTTCGCACTAAATGGTTAATTTACCATTAATATAACTATTTATAAACCTGCACTTAGATTAAATATTCTATATCCACCGTGCTGTTAAAATTGTAAGTGTGTGCAGCAAGAGTCGAGGTTGGACTGCTGGTCCTTTAGTCGATCTTAATAATTAGTGTACGTGCTGGCTAGTTTTTGGGCTTAACCGTCTTTTAGTGAAAAGGTAGTTGTGCTGGTGGTTGACGAGGAGCCACCCATCAGTCTGCTAATTTTAAGCTAGACTGTGCTGACGGGTCTAAAGTCTACCTTTTTAGTGGTTCACTAATTGGAGGGATTGGGGCTGATCAGTGTACCTAACGAGAGGACTCGAGAAAAGTAAAAAACGACGAACATGTCGTTAAAAGTATTAATTAATTTGTGTACTTTTTTGTGTCTATGTCGGGGTACTCCCGACGTACAAGGTACTGAAGGCTTAAAAATAATATCAACATTTTTTTCTTTTCAATTTTAGATAATTTTCTAAAAAACCTACCTTCTTTAAATCTACATCAAATTGAAAGAATAATATACTTTGTTTGATGAAAAAAACGATAGCACAGTGATGTCGCGGCAAATTGGAGATGTGGCAAATTTGGGACAAGTATAGATGATATCTGAAAGTGATTAAAAAATATCATATAAAAATATTCGATGCAAATCTATAGTATTTATTTTTTTAGAAATTAGTGGATTATTTCAAAAGCAACATAAACTCCTATTCCCTTAATTATATCCTAAATAGTAGTTAAATGTTAAGAATAGTGTGAAAGTGAAAGTTTAGGATAAGGGTAGCCGATCCCAATTACACTGTTCTGTGAGGAATTTTCATCACAGCCAACTATATACTTCTAGATTAATTTTTGCGATCATTTGAAATCTGTAATTCAATTTTTTTATTGTCTCCAAATTTTTGAGATTATTACTAATTAGTATAGAACGAGTATGAACATTGATACGATCACATTTGCATGTGCCCATATCTCTGTCTCCCATTACATCATTGTACCGTTTAATATATATATATATATTTAACACAGTGACATACAACAATACTAACAGGAGGGCGGACTGCACACATAAATACTTTTTGCAATTCACGGACAATGTGCCATAATAAGATATCCCTACGACAGTTGACATTTTACCATCTTCGCGATCACTACTTTTGCCTGATAATTAACTTAACTTCGCTACCCGTATATTATAGTGTGGTGTGTGTCGCCGTCAGCTCCCTATTGGATTATAACATCTCTAGGTGTCTAGCAGGTTGTATTATCTATTTAATATTTCAATTGCTTAATAAATATTTATTTATATCGTTGTTAACCTAGTGTNTTAAATAGCGACGTAACAACATAAAAAACAAATATAAATTAAAATGAAATTCTACATTACACCTAGCAGACGAAATCATAGGAACGAAATATTTTTTAATGTATTCAATTGGATACAATATGTGAACAAAATCGGTTCAGGGAGACCTGCAAAATAGTAGTGACAGACACAAAAGAAATAAAATAAAGGTAAAATATATAAATGGTAAAATACTTAATACTTTTCTGTATTTAAAAATGCTATAATTTTATTTAAAAACACTAATACGAATGAAATTTTTTTAAAGTATATTAAACACAATTAACTTTTTTTTAGAATAATATTTGTGAAAATCCAATTAAAAATTTAATTTTATAAGTAATATTTTACCTTTAAAATACATATTTTAAAATTAAAAATGATATAATCATGTGTTCTTTATATTTTTGGTACATCTTTTAAACATTTATTAGAATATATAATACAAAAATTGAATGCCGAAATTTGTTTGCACTTATTTATACGGATAACTTTATATAATATTTGAAACTCAATTTAAAAAAAATTACCACACTAAATTATTTTACATAAAAATAATCATACATTATAAATTAAAACTTTTATCAAAGACAACTCTGAAATACTTCATAATCAGAGATATAAGTTTATTTGATCTCATATGCTTGAATAGAACATAAATTTTATAGTAAATAGAATTGAATAATTGAAAAACAATAATATATCAATTTATAACATAAGGACTCTCATCTTCAAGTATCGATTCTTCTTCTTCAAAATTTTCTCCTTTAATGTATTCATTTTCTTTAACTTCATTCTAAAATAAAATAAATATTAAATTTACTATAAGCAAACAGGGCTGAAACTTTTTATTTATAAGTTAATCATATTTCTTAATTAAAAATTCAGGCCGTATTATCAAAATTACATCATTACATCAAACGGCAATGATTCAAACAGAAACAGTACAAAAGTGAAATATAGGATATTAATTCACTTGGGTGAATATTGATTATTTATACAAAAACGTGCTTTTATAACATATATGAAATATAATAATTTAATATGTTAAAATTTTCAGAAAATAACTTTTCATTAATTATGAATAATTACTCTGTTCTATAAGGAATATAGTTCTGAATATTTCAATATTAGCGTCTATTTAAACAAGAGTTCCATAGAAATGATTAATATAATATTTAGAAATGATTTATTTCAATATGAATACATAAAAATTTTGAGATTCTCTCATAAATTATTGTAAATAGTAAATATAAAATCTCCTGACAACATATTAATCTTAAAAATAATATTTTTTTAATTTTCATAAAGTTTTCTAAATAGTGATATTTTTAATTTTATATTATTACTTTGAATATATTTTTAATATATGAGATATATTGACCTCATAATAATTTAACTTCACACGATGACACTAAAGCGTAAAACTTAGTATTATAGTTAAAACAAGAAAATGCCTTAATGTCGTGACACTTGTGTTGCATTTGATAATGTTTGATAAGCAATGCTGTGACAACTGGTATTATCATCCAACTTAGGCCCTGGCATTAGTGTCGTCATCGCATGAAATAAGTTTAACCCAAGTTTGCGATGGCCACCAAGTTTATGAAGCAAGTAGTATTTAAAAGAGGTATACTAACAGTTATAACTTCAAAAAATTGCTTTTCTGCTTCTTCAATCAATTTCGCTTCAGCTACGGCTATCTGGGTTCGTTTATCTTTAGTTGAAATTAATTCTTTTGCGGCCTTTGTTTTCAATTTGAATTCACGTAATTTTGCTTCAATAATTTTTTCGCGTTTGGTTTCTCTGTCGAACATCTGTTTAAATGATAACAAAATATTTAGAGGGACCATTCATTAACCAAAAAAAAATGCGTTCCAATTTTTTGGCGAAAGCATATTTTATACAAGTATTAGTTAGAATACCAAAATGAGGAGAAAATCTTATACAATTTAACAATGATTTTTTGTACCAAATATGAATTTTAAATTTACACAAGTGTATGGGCAAGTTAAAGCCCATAAACTTTTCTCTCCTTCCTCAGTTCGTTGGACAGCAATAGTCAACGTATCAAAACATATGCCATGATAACCGATACGGTCGGCATTGTAGATAATATGCATTGGGATAGCAAAAAATTTTGTTGGTTACCGTAACTAACCCATCCCAACCAATAATTGTTTTAAAAGACCATTTTCCTACGGATTAGTAAAAATATAAATAATTTTTTTTTACATTGAAATTTTATACAAAACAAACACATGCTATAATGAAACAAATTTTAAAATTAATTGAAACTATACATATGAAAATAGTTGACAGGAAAAAACCAACTTAACAACAATATTACTCTTTCACTGCATAATCATAACTGCTCTTACTAGCACCAATATCCTATACTGTTAATAGTAATAATTGTCTAATGGAGTGCTATGGCCCCCCCTTTTAGACTTCCCCCTATTGTATGCACTTCTCAAACTTGTATAACGTTATAAAAATAATTGAGTCACATTTTAAGAAGTTTTAAATACACCCTTGCAATTCATCTATAACTAAATAGGTATGAAATAAAAAACTTACTGCAGTTAAAAGAGCTTTATCATTTTTTCCAGGACTCACAAACCAGTCATTCATTTGAATAATGAACGTATTACCACTGATATCACCGACACCCAATAAAGATCCATTTTCGTGACATCTAACACAGTTTAAACTTTTATCAGACACCTGAACATTAAATATTTTAAGATTGAATAAGACATTTTTTGAAGTGTTTAAAATTCAGTTAAATACTCTGATTGTAATTATAGGATTTTTCTGTTCTTGTAAAATATCCCAAGTATCTAAACAACCATCTACTCTAGCTGAATAAAATACAGATGGTTTTGTTTCACTCCATGCACCATCAATCAATCTTATTTCGTGACGCCTAGTTAAAGTTAATTTATATAATTAAAAGTAATAATTTGTTTTCCTATTTACCAGCGGCTTATTAATCCTGGAGCTATGAGAGCCATGACTAAGGTCGACAAGTTTATAGAGGCAGCTCATATCACCCCCTCATGTATTTATTTAATTAAAAAACTTAAATAAACTCAACTATAATTAACATGAAATAATATTTATTTAACAGAAAAAGGTTAGTTTTTATAGTGAATTTTTATTAATTTCTCTAATCAAAACAACTTTTTTAGTATCGAGTAAATTATATTTGAAAAATTTACTTGACTAGGAATATTAACACTTATTTTTTAACTTTTTAAGAGTAAAATAAGCTAAGTTAAAAGCTAATATTTTTTAAATTCAATAACTAAAAAGTAACTAAAAAAAAATAAATTTTACATAATTTCATCAATTAAATAGTAATTTATAATTTATGTAAATAATTTATAAACTTATGTACTGCAATAATATACTAAAAACTTCTTTGAGTAAATTAATTTAGTTAAAAATATCCCTTTCAACAAAACATTTTTGGATGAATTATTTCTTAATAATTTAACTTACTTAATGAATAATAAGTAATGTCAAATTTATTGACGAATTGAAGAAAAAATTAAAATTTAAAATATGCTATTGACTGAATACCTTTCATTTTTTTCAGTGAGGTAATTATGGTGTCACATTCGTTAATCTTGAAAAAATTTAAGGAACGCAAAAGTACTTTTGTAACCCCTCAAAATTGCCAGAGACTCAAATTTTATTAAATGGACAACGTTAAATTGTATTTTAAATGGAACGTGTCTATTACTAAATATCTACATAATATTGATTTAATTTATTTTTAAATTGAAGTCATTTTTGTAAGTAATATTATATATTAATATATAATATTATTAGTTCAGTTTTCAGAGTTATTAATACTTTTATGTGCATCATTGAAGTCGTAATTGATATTAATTTTAGAATATTCAACTCAAAAAAATAAATAAATAAAGCTTGGGTTGATCAGGAAGGGTCGTAAACGTTAATCACCTACCAGATAATTAAATAATTTTACCACCACTAAAATTATGACTAAAATAAGCCACTTTATTTTTTATTTACTTTGTCCACATAATTGGTGAATCCTTACAGTCTTCGGACCATATTCTAACTTGCCAATCGCCAACTGTCAAAAAATTTTTTAAAAAATTAGGATTCCGCTGCACTGAGTATATAGGACCAGAATGACAATTGTAAATACCAGATATTTTTTCAAATATTGTTTTACCTTTACGATTCCCGTTAAACACTAAACCGGTTTCAGTGCCTATCTGTCTAGAAAACATAATATTTTTTATTAAAACAAACATACAGAAAACATTACTTGAAAAATATTAGAATAATGTCGTCCTCAAGAGTTTTTCATGATATACATTAGTATATTCACCATACATTTTTAACTATTGTAATTTTTCCAAGTAATTATTTTCAACACAAGGAATCTATCTACTATTTTACTTTCGCGAAGAAAATGTCCATAGCTTAATAAAATTTGGATAATTGACTTTTTAAAAATAATCAATGGGTAATTATTATAAGTATCAATTTTAAATATTTAGCATCAAGAGCTGAAAAGTAAAAGTATATTTTGAAAAATTAAGAAAAGTACAAAACTTAAGAGTAAAACAACCAATTTTTAGAGTGATAATATATCACAGTGAATTTTTTTAAATATTACTACTAGTTAAGATTTATTTCTAATACTGCTTCGTATTCAATTACTAAAAGTTCTGAAGCATAACATTGTTCTTGAGCAAAAGTCGTTCTAGTACTTTTAATTCGCTTTAATACTGAAAATGATCGTTCATCGGAGGAATTGCTGGCAAATTCTTCAGTGAACAAAAAACGCATAGTTCTTGAGATCCAGGATATTTTCAAAATATTATTTCCTTGCAAAATATTAAACAAATACATATGGAGTGCAATTTCTACATATTGTTATATTACCATGACATCATTTTTTCTTTTCTTTAATATGAGATCCAAAATTTTTTTTGGTATTTTTCATCAAAACATTTTATGTAACATAGTAGTCACTAAACTAATACTAAGGTTTGTAGAATAGTCTTTTACTAAATTTTCAACATAACATAGGATTTCTTCGACAGAAATTTTCACGGTTAATTAAAATTATATCCTTAAAATGATTTTCATCATACCATAATTTGGTTTTTTCTAAGATATTAATAACCATGAAACTAAAATGTATCTCGCTCAGTTTATATTTCAAAAAAAAACTTTCACAGAATGTGTTTTTCATATGATTTCAGTAATCTTTATTCAATTTTTTAGTAATATTGCGATAGAAGGATGGTAACGCAGTAGTGCTTGATACGCACTGCCTTGGGTTTGAAACTCAGAAACCGCCCGAATTCATTTGCCGAGCGAGTGATCAGTTCGGTAATTGGAGTTATCATCCATCTCGGGATGACGACGGACTAACGACCCATCCCGGAATATCAATGGTTAAGAAACCTTCTTATTTGGAGAAGACCGCTATGGCCCTTGATGGTCTTATAAATAAATCGTTAAAAAAAAAATTTAAAAAAAATATATATATATATATATATATTATATAAAAATAACCTTGCTGGAGGGCTAATTAATGGACAAGTTGCTTGTAGGGATATTCGCAAAGGATCAGACTATATTGCCATGAGTAATTTAAAGAATAGTAAACGTGATCCAGTGACAGGTATTTATTGGATACATTATTTTATGGATATTTATTGGATCACAGATTGATTAATCTAATAAAAGATTGTAAAATTATCAAAGACGAGAGTGTAACTACACAACATAGACTGATAATAATAGAGTTTTGGTATAGTGGGAAGAAAGTATGCAAAAACAGAATGATTCGATGGTGGTTATAGAAAGGAGAAAATGAAAAAGAGTTTTCAAAAACAGTAAAAGTGTAGACGGTTTGGACTGTCGAGGGAGATATAAATAATGTGTTTAATAGATTTCCTAGCTGTGTAAAGAATACCAAAATAGAGATTGTTGATAAGAGTAGGAGTAGAATGTTTGGAAACTAGGAAACCTAGTGGTGGAATGAGGACGTTGAGAAAATCATAGAAAGTAAGAAAAAGCAATTCAAAGTATTGCAGAAGAGCAAAAGGAGAGAAGATTGGATGGAGTATAAACGCTTGTGCAAAGAAGCCAAGTGTGCAGTAAGTAAGACGAAGTTTAAGAGGTATGATGAGTTGTATGATAGGCTAGGAACAAAGGAAGGCGAGAAAGAAATCCATAGACTTACAAAGATAAGAGAGAAAAGGTTTAAAGATTATCATTATATAAGGTGTATATAGATATATAAGGTGAATAAGAGATGAGACATCGGTATCTAAAAACCCGTTTGGATTTATGCCTGGTAAGTCAACAATGGAGCCAGTATTTTGTGTGAGGCAACTAATAGAAAAGTTTAGGGAAAAGAAGAAAAAGCTGTGTATGGTATTTATAGATTTGGAGAAAGCATATGACAGAGTACCGAGAGAGGTTTTAAAGTGGGCATTAATGAGAAACGGAGTCCCGAAAAGTTACAATAATATAATAGAAGATATGTGGCACTTGTACCAGGGTAAAAAGCGTAGGAGGAGTATCAGAAGGTTTTTGGGTAAGAGTTGAAGTGCACCAAGGTTCTGCTTTAAGCCCTTACTTATTCTTTATAGTGATGGATGAAATTACTAGAGAAATACAAGGAGAGGTGCCGTGGTGTATGTTGTTTGCTGACGATATAGTGTTAATAGGAGAAAATAGGGATAAAATTAATTAAAGGCTAGAGGTGTGGAGATCAGCTCTTGAAGAAAAAGGTTTAAGAATAAGTAAGTTTAAGAGTACGAGTTTGACAAAGGAGAACATGAGGTAGGTGAAATGAGGAGATCAGTGACAATAAGCGAGGACGTGATTGGAGAGGTGGAGAGTTTTAAGTATTTAGGGTCAGTTGTGCAAAAGAGTGGTGGTATTGACGAGGATATAAGACGTAGAATTAAGTGCGGGTGGTTGAAGAGGAGAGAAGCGTCTGTTGTCTTATGCGATAAAAGAATTCCAATGAGGCTGAAATGTAAATTCTAAAAGACTGTAGTGAGGCCAGCTATAATTAGCTATAACCATACATTTATGGTTCAGAGTGTTTAGCGGTTGACAAGTAGAGCAGAGAATGAGTGTAGCAGAGAAGAGTATGCTTAGATGAACAGTTATAGAAATAAATGTTGAAGGAAGAAGAGGTAGAGGAAGACCAAAAAAGAGATGGAAGGATGTTATTGAATGTGATTTGAGGACAGCTGATCAGCTGATCAGTGTGAGATCGTGTCAAGTGGAACTTTAGTCTCCCCTTAAATGAAATCCTGCAAGTTCTGGCAATATTTGATAAACATAATAACTCTCTTTAACTTAAAAAAACGGTAGCACAATATGGACGTGGCACAGTTGCGACATGTATAGATGATATATAACGGTGATTAAAATCACTATCATAAGAAACGCTTCAATGCAAATTTGTAGATAGTGTTTAATTTTAAGAAATTGGTGGATTATTCTAAGAGCAAAATTAACTCTTATTTTTTGTTCAACTATCATTTGCACATAGAAGACTAGGTATCGGGAAAAGTTTTTTTTTTTATTTATAGTATGTAACATGTATTTATAGTATGTAAAAAATTACGATTTTGAATCCTTCTCTGTGGGCAAGTATAGGGTCAGAATTTCAAAAAAAATGATATCAAATGAAAGAAAAATAGCTAAGGTTTCTACTAAAAAATATTATTTTGATACATTGATTTTTCAAAATGTTATGGCTATTTTAAGAGAACAAAATGTCATAATTTACCGATTTTAAAAATTTATATAAATAAATGGATTTTCTCCATTTATAAGGAATGAGGGAAATTTTTTTAAATTTTAAGGATAATGTCTTCAACTAGATACGATTTGTGATATTTTGACGTATGGTTGAAAGAAATTGGTACGATAAGATCTGAAAAAAGTGACAACAGACATAAAAAAACACATCATAAAATTAATACCTTTTCAGCTTCGCATCGAAGCTAAAATGTTTAGAATAATATCCATTTTTCAAACAGTACTAAAATTTTATTTTCTAATAATAATAATTCTTTTAGAGTTCTAGAAAGGATATGTCCGAATGTATACAAAAAAAAAACGAAATTAATTAATATATTATACTTTAGACAGGAAGAGTAATTAGAACTAATTAATTAGGAATAATTGATGGAAAAAATCATAAAAGAAGACCAGATTACAATACATAAGTCAGGTAATAAAATATTAAAAATGTAATTCATATGAAGAATTGAATAGGAAAGCTAAGGATGGAGAATTATGGAAGGTGTACTTCAAATCAATCATTATTAGATTGAATACTACATAGAAAGAAATACTTAGGGGAGCTAAAAATACTTATTTTTGTATTTAAAGAGCCACCTCCTCTAAAGAGTCCCCATAAGCCCCATCCCTATTTTAGCTCAATTAAATGAAGTGTTTTAAAAAATTGTGCGGCTTAAAATATTTTACTCGTCATCTCTTTCTTTATTCCGCCTAACTACATAATTTTAATAAAAATAAAATCGTTATTAAGTAAAAATTTTTAAACACAATTTTAAGTTTGCTGAACAAGGTATCAATACTACAGTAATTATTATTAAATTAATTTTTTCCTAGCAACGAACTAACTACTATTGTAAGGTTAGGAAACATTTCCTGGAGTAGACCGTAAAAAGAAGAAGTGGTTTATAGAGTGTTCAGAAAGTAGGGAAACGGAATTTTATTGCTCATTATTCGTAACAATTGACCAGTTTCCTTATTTTTTGAATACTCTGTATATTTTGAGTAAATTCAATGTAGCCACAAACCATAAACCGAATAGGAAGTAAAGGATCATAATCCATACAAGTTATTCCATGTGATCGTGACCACTTTACCCAATCTTGCTCTTCTTCATCTTCCGTTTTCGTTAAATCGAGCAATAAAACTTCTGTTGGCTCATCGAGTTTTCTGGTATCCCACCACATAACCTAAATTAAATAAAAATATTTGGTATTAAAATATACATCTTCTAAATACCTTTAGTATAAAGTATATTTTACTATGTTATCAAAACATATCTCTACAGTCAAAAAAAAAAAAAAAAATGAATTTTTAAATATCATTTTTATTTGTGTTTCAACTGCACGAAAGCCGTAAAATTTTACTACAGGTATACAAAATATTCAAAAGAAAGGGTAAAAGGTTAATATCGATCATAAATATTGACCCATTTACTTAAAAAAACATTTTATACAATTATTAAAGCAAAATTACTTTAACAAAATAAGGAACAATGAGTTTTCCTAGAGTGGCAACCCATGCAGCATAATTTCTAGATTCCTAAAACTAGCTCCATCATTGACTTACTAGGCAAAATGACAAACTAGTTCTTTGTAACTGATATTTTTCCTTGGATACCTTCAATTAGTAATTTTTCAAAATACTCCACTTTTTTTTCATGTAAACATCGCTTGTTAGCATCCTTTTATATTACTTTATCACTTTTTACACACCTTATATTATGATACTATTTAAACCATTTTTCACTTACTTTTGCAAGTCTATAGATTAGTTTTTCACCTTCCTTTACTACTAGCCTATCATACTTATTATACCTCTAAATACACTCTATAATTTTCTCAACGTCCTCATTCCACCACTAAGTTTCCTAGTTTCCAAGCATTCTACTCCTACTCTTATCAACAATCTCCTTTTTAACACGCTTATATTAGTTTCACGTGTATGTTTGTTGTTTGTTGTTTGTTTGTCGTTTGTAAGTTTGTAACTCCACGCGGCACGTGTTATTATGTCGCGTATCCCGTCGTGTATGACCTTGAGACTATACTGTTGTAANAATTTTATAAAGATGATATCAATTGCAAATTATCTACAAATCTATTAAGAAAAAAAAAATTTTCATTAAAGCATGTAAAAAGAACATAAATGGAAATTTTAAAAATCGTTCTCTTATACGCGATTTTTAATTGGGGTATTTGTAGAATATAGCATTATCAGTCAATGCATATCATAATGTTTCCGGACTTTTTTCTATAGGAGTTTTAGCATTGATATCTAACATACATAACTAGTGTACACTTTCATCTGTGACCGTTGAAACGTATTCAATTGTGATAGTCGCTTTATCAACAATTAGTGTCATTTAAAGTACGTCCTGCTGTCAAACATATTACAGGTAGTAGTTTGCATGACAAAATATATAGGTATGTCAGCAACAAACGAGTTTTGGACCGTTTAACGCATCCCGCCCTTCTCACCCATAGTAGTGGTTCGCCTCATTTCATTGGCCGTAGGTTTGCCCGCCAAAATACAATTCTTTAAATCAAATACTTGACAGCAACTTTAATATTTTGTATTGTTTTTTATGATACCTTTTACTATTATTGATTGATATCAATCTATTGTGATATCTATACTACAATATAAACAAATATGATCAATTTGCAAATTATTTGATATGAAATGATTATGCCGGGTATATTGAATAAAATGAACAGCGTTTATTTTAACTTGATATACTTACATAATTCTACTTAAATTTATATTTTTATGACAAAATGNGCTTTTAAAGTACATCGAACTAAAAAGTTAAAAATAATTTTTAAAATTAACTTAAAACAATAATGAACGAAAAATACTAGTATTATTGTGAAAAAAAGCGTCAGGCGCTCAATATACAAAAAATATGGCATAAAGCACCCACGCTTTTTTTCACAATAATACTAGTATTTTTCGTTCATTATTGTTTTAAGTTAATTTTAAAAATTATTTTTAACTTTTTAGTTCGATGTACTTTAAAAGCGTGTTTTTTAATTTTTTTAAACTATATTTATTAGTATTCTTTACGCAGCTAGGAAATCTATTACACACATCATTTATATCTCCCTCGACAGTCCAAACCGTCTACTCTTTTACTGTTTTTGAAAACTCTTTTTCATTTTCCCTTTTCTATAACCACCATCGAATCATTCTGTTTTTGTATACTTTCTTCCCACTATACCAAAACTCTATTACTATCAGTCTATGTTGTGTAGTTACACTCTCGCCTTTGATAATTTTACAATCTTTTATTAGATTAATCGTTCTTGTGATCTATTACTCCAACTCTTATAAAATTTATAATGTTCTCCCCGTTTCTAAAATAAGTATTAACTATAGCAAGGTCATATATTACAGCTAAATCCAAGATTATATCTCCAGTCGTCCTCCCCACTAAAACCATACCCTCCATTTATTCTTTCATATCCTCAATGTTACATCGTCAATATATAATTAAGAAACAAAAAAAAATTAATCAGTAGACGACACTGTTGGGAGGGACCTCTCAAGTTATTCTAAGTCAATAATTCATTGTAAAACTAAAAAAAAAAAAATTATTTATTACCTGACCATCACTTGAACCAGAGTAAAATTCTGTCCCTGTTTTTGAATGTATCCAATAAATACCTGTCACTGGATCACGATGACTATTCTTTAAATTGCTCATGGCAATACAGTCTGATCCTTTGCGAGTATCCCAACAAGCAACTTGTCCACTAATTAGACCTCCAGCAAGGTTATTTTTATCACGACTGTTAAATTCAAGTTTAACAATTGGAAACTGTGATGTGACAATAAAGCTTGGCATAGTTGAATCTTCTACAATTAATTCAAATAAAATGTTTTCTTACAGTAGAAATAATAACGATATTATTTACCAAGATCAAATATGTATGAATTTGGACTATTTGATGAACCTCTAGTTTCAAATTCTACGTTAGCGTAGCTTACAGCTATCTTAGATGCTTCATCAGGAGACCAAGACAGATGTTGGACAGGCCTTGTGAGGTTACTTGGATCAGACATAACGGCTATACTTCGATAAGAGGGACTCACTGTTTGAACATCTTGGCAAATCGGATCGACAAAGTAGGGCTCGTATATATCAATTGAATTATTTTGATTAATGAAATGTTCAGTGAGCTAATTAAATTTCAAAAATTTAATAAACATAAATGTTATTGAATAAACGTTAATCTTAAACTTGAATCAATTAAATTCAGTGTTGGGAAAATTCCTTTTTAAACGGAACTCGTTCATTTTCTAAAATAGGAACTGATTCCAGATCTTTATTCCTTTTTCTAAAAATAAACTCATTATCTTTTTCACTCTTTATTGTTAAACAANTAATTTTCCATTGTTCCTCTATACGTTACAAATTATTGTTGCACAACATTAAATATTAATGCATAAATGATAATATTATCACTATATTTATGGAAAATGACCATACAAATATTCGGCCAATGAAATGAGGCGAACCAACTATAGATGGGGTGAAGAGTGGGTTGCGTATCACAAAGTTGCTGACATACCTATCTATTTTGTCATG